TACTAGCGACCCGCCCCGGCTTCGCACGGGTGCAATATGCATGTATTATACATACAAACCTTCCTTAAGAATCACTCTATCTATTAAAAAAAACCGCATCAAAATCCGTTGCGTAGTTTTAAAGATCTAAGCATACATACGGACATACAGCGAAAGCGACTTTGTTTTATACTATGTATTGAAGCGTGGTGATTAATGCTCAAACCTTCTCCGTGTGAGAAGAGGCTTTGCTCAGCAGTGGGCACTTATAGGCTGTTGATGATGAGGATTGGACCCATTGATGGAATTAAAATTAATCGTAACATATACTCATAATAAACCCTCTGAATACGTTTCGCACCACTCTTGCTCTTCCAGCTGGTTTCGTCGGCAGGGGACAGTAAGGGCGATGATCAAGGGACACGCTCGTCTCCCTAGGGATGTGCTGTATCTGGCGTTGCATCGCGGGAGCTCCGGAGCAGGTCTCTTCATAGGACCCGGTGCCCCTTACAGGTGTTAAGGGTGGCTACCGGAGTGGTTTTAGTGAGGTAAGTATCCCACACTCCCTAGTCTTTCTCCCCAAAAAGCTGGGCGCCTTTTGAAGGTATACCCCCGACTTCAAAAAAAAAAGGGGACGGTAAGGGACTACACATCCTAATGCGGCGCTGTTGACAGCAGGGCTCATAAAATCTGATCCTATTAGCATCGAGATTATTGCATACCTTCTTACGATCCGATTCACTTTGTTTTTCTTATTCATATTGATAGTGTATATATTTTTAGTGACTGCCTCATTGGCTGAGTGGTCGTAAGTGCGACTGCCGAGCAAGGAGTCCGGGTCCGACTCCCAGGTCGGGCAAAGTATTACTGGGTTTGTAAAAACCTCAGTAGTAGCACGGAGTCTGGAAATGTGCCCGGTATATGACAATAGCCTCACCCCCTATTACATGGGACATAAATAGTAAAATAAATAGTGAAAAGTGGGTGTTACTTCTGTGTGCACCTGTGCCTACCCCTTCGGGGATAAAAGGCGTGATGTTATGTTATTGTTGATTGATTTTTTTTGTTGTGTTTTCTATTGTCAGGAGAAGTCTTATGACAGAAAAAAATCCTGAAAATTCTACGGAAGCAGGAGAATACGGGAATGTGCGTACGAAGTCGCGGGCAGAAGCTAGTAAGTTATAAATAGGTATATACCGTCGAATACCATGCAGAGAATTTAGAATCGAACGAACGTCGTCTTATTTACACCCAAATAAGTCAAAGTCAAGTCAAAGTCAAAGCATTTATTTCAATTAAACCATAATTTGGTACTTTTGAAACGTCAACAAATACAAAATAAATAATAGTCTGTCAGTCAGTCCGTCAGTGAAGCCAGGTGCTAAGCTATATAAGCGAAGCTATTCCTTCATTCTGTATCATCATCTGTGTTCTGTTAATTTAACCTGTCGCAGGTCTGAATATATACAGTATTTAAGTAAAAACGCGGGTTACTCACGTGAATTTACTGAGAAAAGCTCTACTAGTTTCGAACCACAGAGGGGTTCTTCCTCTTGAGCAGCGTGCGCGGTCGCGGCGACGTCGCGCAGCTCACTTTTCTCAGTATATTCACGTGAGTAACCCGCGTTTTTACTTAATTTAGTATGTCTCACGATAGTTATTATAAAAAATATACAGTATGTTCTGTGTTGTACATAAATC